TACTGGGCCCTTCGATGAGTAAGACTGAGAAAATGTATGGCCATACTATAATGAAAAGGGTTTTTTCATTACTACTATCAGTCCACTCAGAGATCGAGAAAGTAACAGTCAAGTAAAGGAGAATGACAATTTCAAGTCTCACACTGAATCAAAATATCATAAGGCAAAAGAAATGTGATACGATTGCATAATAGGTTTCATCAGATCATCGATCCCTATGTGAATTAGGTAGTTGCAATATTTTGCTGGGGGCCACTTGTGACTTGTGGGCTAATCGCGTAATTAACTTACTGCCAATTTCATATGGGCCTACATGGTCGAACACAAGAATAGCCCAACTCGAGCTATAATGTCCATTTTATTGAATATATATATATATCAGATATATATATATATATATGATATATGTATATGATATATAAAATTAAATATATATAATATAATATATATATATATATATATATTGAAATATATATGTATATATATATTCATATATATAATATAATATGTATATGTGATATATATTATATTATATTATGTTGTGTTATGTTAGTTTTAAATTTAATTTTATATAATAAATTAAATTTAATAACTAACATGATATGAGAGAATATCATGTCAATTTTATAATTTGAATTTATTAGATAAATTCAAATTAGATATGATATTATAAATTAAATTTATGAGATAAATTTAATTATATTTTTGTGGACTTTTAAGTGAAAGATGAAAACCCTTATCTATATACTATATATAGATAGGGACGTCTTTTATGAAGGATGAGAGAGTTAAAAAAGTTCTGATAGCAAAAACACTTTAAGAGTCACAAAACACCCTATAAAAAGAAAAAATAACGTTCAAAGAAGAATGGACGCTGGGAGCACAAGCATACTATTCGAGTTAGAGAGCTGTTCGTGTGGATACCGATAGATGGAACAGATCTATGTTGTTAGCTTTTAAGATCCAAACTCTTGGAGAGAACATGCCCCAAGTTCAAAGAATTAAAAGGTAACTCTTCTGTCCACCTTGATTTAAATGAGTTCGTTCGATTCATATCAGGATAAGGACTTTAAAATTTTAATCTTTTGCTGTGCCTTCCTATATATCAGCCGCGACCCCCTACCCTAGTCTAGAGTATACTTACGAATGCAATACATATGTCTATTCATATGTCTCATCTCATACATTTCAATCAATACTCACACACCTACCTGCATTGGTATTCCTTTCATAATATTGCTACTCTATCAGTTCATAAATCACAATGCATATAGTTATATAAAATACTTATAAATAATTTCATAAATAAACAAGTAAAAGAGTTACTTCAGTTATCTTTTACCCTTACCGCTAAGGGTTACTAATCACAGTGAACTTTTAAAGGTGTAAATTATCATGAGCAACTTCACAAATGCTCAATCTACACAATATAATGTCTTTTAGTCAATTCTCAACATTTAATATAGGCATTGACTCGGTTAAACCAAACCTCTCAACACACAAACTAGTCCAATTAACACCTTTCAAATTCACATAATCCATCATCTATAGTCATTAACCCTATAGGCTATTCAAATGACTATATCAACCTCTTAACTCATTTATTCATTAAATTTCACCATTTTAACCTAATTCTTTAGGTCAATTAAGCCTAAAACCTTAGATTTCAACCATTAAACTCTTGATTAGTCACAAAACCTTAGTTTCATATTGAAAGCCCTTTTTAAACCTTTCTTTTAAATTCCAACACCTTAAAACTTCCTGATTCGATTTCTCAACAAATCATATTTAAAGAAAATAGGATAGAATGCAGTATAGGGCTGTACGATACTTACTTGATAAGTTACTAACTGAAGTAGATTCCCAATTATCGAATAATTGATGTCCTAACAAAGCTAAGCCTTCCTCACTCCTCAAATATATTTTCCCACTTTCCTCTTTTGTTTTCAATAGTTTTGATTTAGCTCTTAAGTAAAATTTTGTACAATGTGCCGCAGTGCATGTAGCTTCCACTACGGCGCATGACATAGTGAGATTAATCTCACTTATACTCTTGCGTTTCATCCTAAATTGTCGTTCCGCCCTTCAATTCTATTAACATAACAACCAATCAACACCACATATTAATCCAACACTCAAACCATAATCAATTCACTAATTACTAATTTACTCATAATTAGCAACTAGTTTTTCTTAATTGAAATTCAAGATGTTACATGCGTAGTTGAATGGTGTAACATTTATAAATTAATGAATGTATTGTTTTGGTTTCATAGTCCAAATATATTGAGTCCAATGTAATATTAAAGCCTAGTTTGTTTTATTGGGCCATGCTAATAGTGAATAGGGTTAATGGGTTTTAACCATATTAGTGGTGCAAGATCCATCATCTTGAAGTAAAGCCTGAATCTTGGGAATGTTTTAAGTTTTCATAAAAACCTTTTTAGCTTATATATCAAGTTCAACAAAGATGTAAGATATTAGAGTTAAAGTTTAAAAAAAAAAAAGATAACATTGTTTTTCCTCCTAAATCATAGTCCTCAAGCTGGTTTTCAAAAGTGTAGGGGTTGGCAGGTGTAACTATGAAAATTTTGTGGGTTTCGTTTTGAAAAAAATTAAATTAGCAATAAAAACTAGGATCAAAATGAAGTGGAACTATAAACAAATGAGTCATAGTTTTCCCAATTTTTTTTTGACACATTTGAGGTCTCGTGTTATTGGATAATATTCTGGTAGTATTATCTCAACTTAATTTTTTGATTCATAAAGTTACTTTTATGTTAAAAAAGAAAAATCAAGTTTTTATTACCCGGTAAAAACAAAATTTGCAACTGACATTTTCTGCAAAGCCCACTTGGGCTTCAAATTTAATGTCAAAAAAATAAAAAAGAAAAAACAATGGGTTTGGTGGCGAAGATAGATACGTGACTGAGGATATGACACGTGTAGAAATGTCACCATGGAGCGGCAAAGGAAATTATGAAGAAGGTGGATCGCATGGCATGGAGATGCATTCACTTCATAATTCATTGCAGAATCATTAGGGTCCTATCATTTTCACATCATTCTTTTCATTTCAATCAATCAATCATTCGTCCGACAAAGATTTGCTTTCATTTCATTTTCTTGGTTCTTCCAAAATCACATTTCATCATTGTTTTCTCCAATTATTGGGTAAAACCTATTTGGAGTCACTGTGACTAGTGAAAAAAAAAAAAATCTCACGAAAGGATTGTTGTAAGAAATTTTTTTAGTTAAATATAAAAAAATTCTAAAATGTGCTGGATGAAAAAAATAAATTCAAACTAATTTTTGTTAATTAATTATCAAAACACTCTTCACTTACTTTTTTTTTAATTTTATCCCCCCACCAATCACCATTTTATTTGGATTATAGAATACAAAACATTATATATATATATATATATATATTGTCCATTAAAAAATATAAAGCATTTTTTATATGGGGTTGGATGTTAAAAATATAAAATATTTTTAATATTTTAAAGTATAATCAGCGTCTTTTTTCTAAAAGTATCCTAATTGAATAAATTACTTTGTATTTATTTTGGGGGTGTTTATAAGGATAAATATTAAAAAATAGAGTTAGTTTAAAAATAAATAATTACTTTATTGGAGGTCGAGATCCAGTTAAAAATATTTTATATTTTTAAACAAAAGAAGTTTATAATAAACTTATTTTTCAAATTACTTAAAAAAGTTTGAATTTCATAAACTTACATATATAATAACATTTTTTAAATGCTCCGATGAAAATGATGGGTGATTTTTTTTAAAAAAATAACTGAATGATATTTTAATAATCAAACAACAAAATTAATTTTAATTTAGTCATTTGGTCTTGCATAGATATTCCAGAATTTTGTTGTCCTTGAATGAAAAATTCTTTCTAGCTTATATTGGTCCTTTAGTGAGATTCTCTAGAAAAACATAAAATTGTGCATAATTTTTTTAATTGGGTTTTTTTTCTTTCTTTCTTTATTAATTTTTTTTGGAGCTTTTGAAAGTTGCAGAAACTTCAAAAATCTCCATTGTCACAAATTTAAAATATTTCTTATATACTCACCCCATTAAAAAATATAAGACATTTTTTGTAAAGTTAAATATTTAAAAATGTAAAGTAATTTTAATTTTTTAATGTGTAATCATTGTCTTTTTTTAAAATATCCTTATTGATAGTGATTTTATATTTATTACAGGGTATTTAATAAGAATAAATATAAAAAAATACTGTTAATTTAAAAGTAGATAATTATTTTTATTGAGAAGTGAAATTTAATTAAAAATATTTTTATATTTTTAAATGAAGGGATTATAAATTTCAACTATAGCTTTTTTGATTGATATACCTCACCCTAATTAGCCGTTTTGTAGTCAAGGGGGCCCCAAGGTGTCTCTACTGCTTTAGCTTTTAGAGCCGGCTATGTGACTAATTCTTGAGCCAGCAACATAGTAGAGAGAGCTTCATGCTAGGGCTTGCCACCTCCCAAGGAGTTATCCCAAGGAATCGAACCTGAATCTTCTTCTTTGAGGGTCACAGTCCACATCTACTGTGCCAACCACTTTAGCTTTACATTTATTATGTCTATATATTTATGTCCATTCACATACTTCAACTCTTTTCGTTTTTTAATCAAAATACACATAGCATAGATTTTACAAATGCACACAATACACGAGTGCCGCTTTTTTTTTTTACATTGATAATGCAGATGTATCCAATGATTTTTACATGCTTGTATAGAAAGTTTAAATTTTGTGTTGCAAAACAAAAGTTCCGTCAATCAAGTCTGTTTGGTCAAAAATAGAAAATCAATCAAGTGTGTTTTAAAAGCCATCAACAATATAAACGATCACAATAAACCAACAAATGATTGTCTGCCCTGGTGCATCATTTTTCTACCATTACCATTTCACATTATTCTTCTCCTTTCACTAGTTTGTACCATGGAAGAACTGTGCATTTTTTGTTTTGGAAGTTGGAACAACTTGGAAGAGTTAGCTTCCTTATATTTATGCACAATGATTTGAAGCAAAAACACTAAACACAACAAGGGATATTCCTATGTGTACAAAAACATACCTACTGACCAAACTTTACAATCTGACATCTAATTAAAATGTATGCGCCAACACATGAACTAGAGGGGTCAAACGACAGAAAGCCTAGCTGTGAGATATGTTCCACATCACAGTCTACAACGAAAAATCAAACAGAAACTAATCTAAAATTTACATCTTGAAATGCTAAGGAATTGGGTGGGGTTGAATCCTCTGAACATTAGATGAAGTAAATAATAGAGAAATAGAGAAAAACATGGTAGACTCTACTTTTGTGAGACCTAAAAGATTGAGGCTAGACCCACTAGTTCCTCTTTATTTCTCTCTTCATTCATTATTTCATCCTAAAGTTCCTCCCTAGAATTCTGTTTTGAAACTGGGTTGGTACTGATCAAGAATAAGACTTGATGAGACCCAAGTTGTAAAGAAATTTCTCGGAGCCTGATCGAAAAAGATTACCCAAATAGAATAATCCGCCACTCCCCTGCGACGGAGATCTTGAGCAAACTTCTTCTTTGACACGCAGTATGGTTTGCCCAATCTCGTTTCGAACGGCCTCTATTGTTTCACTCCTAACAGCATTTCCCGACACATCAGTCACATAAAATACATTCGCGGCTTGGCTTCCCCTTGTTGTTACTTCAGCCCGACTCACTGAAAGTCCGTTTTCTCTAAATATGCGAGTCACATCTGACAGTAGTCCAAACCTGTCTTCCCCACAAAGTTCTAGTCGTATACCCTGTACCAATCACCATAAAATGTAAATAAAAGGTCAAGAAATTGTGCGCCACAATTCAATTGGTACCTCAGAATTTCGTCTCCTAATTGCAGCTTCCAAGCAGTGTATCACTCGTTGCCTTTCTGCTTCAGAGCTAATAGGGCAACCATCCATATGCCTTATATAATATTCCTGCAAGCCAAGAGAAATCAGATTCTTAATCAAAAGTATCTGATTTCTGAGTCAAGAATTCAAACAGTATTGAAAAAATATTAATGAGTTCTTTCAGGCATTGAGGAAAAACAAAACGAAACCTGATATGCCTCTGGTCCTTCAGCAATAACAGTTCCATGGTAAACCACATATTGCATGTCCGTGAGAGTACACACCGTATCAAAAAGTAACTTTGGTCGGTCTGGACACCTTAAATTCACAACAGTGTATCTCTTATCTGCACAATCATCAACTGTTACAAGGGGTTTGCTCCTGTCATCACTAGAGGTTGTAGCGGATCCATAATCTGTATCACTCATGTCATAGTCACGATCAGCATACATCATTTGATGCAACCTCCGCTCCTTATGAGTGGAACCAACAGAAACAGCAGTGTTAGCAGTCCGCTTGTCTCTGTCACCTTTCAGCACACACAGCAGAAGCTGTTTGATCTTGGCAAGGCGATCAACGTTGTCAATGCATGAACCAGTTTCCTCGTCGCTGATGTATACAACTGACGCCATTCTCGAATTGTGGGTCCACACTTCTGCTGCTACCACATTGCATTTCAGGTCTGCAAGAACTGCAAATATCTCTGAAAGTAATCCTGGCCTGTCTCGTCCACTCAATTCAATTGCTGTATGCTCTGCTGCAGCTTGCACCCCAACCGACCTTCTGAACGACCGGAAACTGTGTGCTCTTGGGCCAAGTGACTGTAAAATGACAAAACAATAAATAAATAGAGTTAAAAATGACTTGGGTGATTCACAGAAAATGACCTAAGAACAAAAGGGTGGATAAAGAATGGAACATAAACTGCTTCTGCTTTTGTATGCTATGGTTCTTTTTCAATGTAGTTGTTGATTGATGTTGAAAAATGGATTAAAAAACAATTTAGCATAGTGATTTCTTTGTTGGAATTATATGCTGACCGAGCAATCAATTATTTTGGTTGTTATTTCTATTTCTGTAATGAGTCTCTGAAGTTTGAATCCTAGACTTCTATTCTCGTATGTTGAGTTCCCCCGTTTCTTTTCCTATTGCATTCAGAAGGCACTACTAAAAGTCAATGGAACATATTTTAGATCATGAAGGAAACTAAACAAAAATTTAGGATGATTTGAAATTGAAAACATGTGCTTGTGATACCAGAGTAATCTACAAGAGAACCATAACTAAAATTCTGCCATCTAAAAAGCACAATCAGGTTCATTCTCAAATAATTTAATGCTACAGTCAATTTAGGAAACAGGATCGATTAATAAATAAGAAATCATGTTTATGACATAGAGAAATTGAAAACAAAAACGCTTTAGAGGAGTAATTCTGACAAGTTTGATAGATCTACCTGCTGAATGCGCTCAGCTACATCATCTTCGAAAAGTTTATTCCCATTCTGATCCGTCACATGAAAAACTAGGCAAAAACACACCAGGGAACAATATAAATGAAAAGAAACACAATTAATGAATCCAAAATGTCACTATATATATGTTAATAAAATTGAAAGCCAGAAGCCAACCATCCATGAACCATTCTCCGTCCGAAGAAATGTAAGCCCGCCGTATGATGAGATTCATATCAGTAAGAACCTGAACAACCTCTAACAAACTCCCACGCTTATTTGCGCTATCGACCTGCAATTTTGCCGGAGATGGAGTTAGGAAGCGACACATTACAATTGGAAGCAGATAATCCCAAAAAAGTCAATAGTAAAACGAAATACCTTAATTAAAGTGGCGGTGGAGCTGGAAGTGTTATCAACAGAAACCCTGTTTGTTCAAGAAATTGATACACATATGAGAGAGAGAGAGAGAGAGAGAGAGAGAGAGAGAGAGAGATGAGAAAAGGAAAGCGATAAATATGATGATGATGATGATGAGAGTATATTGTAAAAATGAAGAAAATATGAAGGAACCTGGGAGGATTCATGCGAATGACGAGCTTCTCGAATTCTTCATCGACCTGCAAGGAAGAGGACCAGCAATCCATTGGGAGGCGAGAGGCAAGGGACGAGAGGAGAGGAGTGAAGAGAGTATGTTATCGTTTTGTTGTTGGGAGAGAGGAGAGAGGTAGAGAGAGTTTTGTAGGGGGTGGGGAGCGAGAGACGGGTGGGCGGGCGAAGGCTGGTGAGCTGGAAGCTGGAGCTTCCGAAGGCCACACCACACGCTTAGATCAGATCATTTCATATCCTAATCATACTCCCAAACTGAATCACGTTTCATTTGCTTTCTTTATTAACTGATTTTTATCAATTAATTATTATTATTATTATTATTATTATTAATTAAGCTTCACGAGCATGGGCTGGGGCTGCCCTGCTATTTGCGTTTTCCATTCCAGTGTTGCTCTACCACACTAACAGTGGGGTCCACTTCACACTCCGCCCGCCTCTTTTTTATTTTTATATTATTGTTCAACGAAGGTTGGAAGAAGGTTGAATCATTAATTTTTTATATACTTTCAAAGCTCTAATTAATAAAAAAGAAAATTACATACAGGTCGATACGAGGAAACTAATTACTCTCTAATTAATAACGTAGTTTCTAGTTGGGAAAAATCACTGCAAATTCCCTAATAAAAATTTTAATTACCACAAGATTCCATGAAACATATAAACTAAAATTACTCTAGAATCTCAAATTCTTTAGGATTAGTATGTAATTTAAACTTTGAATTATAAGTTGAAGAGCAATTTAAATCCTAACCTTTTAAAAGATATATTTTGAACAATAAATCATTAAAATTGATAGGGCAAGTTCACCCACTATTAAATTTACACAAATATCATTTTTTTTTAAATTCGACCTTAATATGCAATGTTACTCAAATGAGGGTAGAGGAGAAAGAGAGTAAAATTTAATAAAAATCACACATTCAGCCTCAATTTTAAAAAACTAACGGATATTTGTGTAAATTTAACAATGAGGTGAAATTGTCTTAATTTTAATTGTTTAGGGTACATAATATATTTTTTAAAAGTTCAGAATTTAAATTACCTTAAACTTATAGTTTATAATTCAAATTACATATTAATTTAATTCTTTATTAAAAATAAGTTTATGTACGATGTCCAGTATACTCTTGTGCTATTTTTTTTATATATATAAAAAAACTTTACCACCATCCACTAATGCTGGATGTTAGAGCTCTGGCTGGCCAATGGATGATCGGGAGTAGTTGTGTTCATATTTTTTTTAACAAAAAATAAAAATCTTATGATAATTATACATAAAATTTATTTACAAATAAAAAATTTGAGACTTACGAATAGTTTCTGCATTTTATTGGTTCTTATGAGTTGTGATAAAATTTTCATGAAAGACTTTGTTGTGATTTCTTTTTATAGTTTCTACCGTTAAATTCTATTGCAGTGACTAATTATATGTTTATAATTTATATGCCATGTTCAAAGTTACAAGTCTTCATTTAAGAGAAACTTCTCTTGAGGTCGAGGATCAACAAAATAAAACATAATTATAAAATTCAGAAATGTTATTATTTTTCAAAAAAACAGACCAACTAATTATTAATAATCAAATAACAAAATATATAATAAATATTTTATATCTCATTTTTTAAATATTCAACCATATATCGTAGAATATTAAAATGATATATAGTCAGTTGTGTTAGTAAAATAATCTATTGAAGAAATTTCAACGCCAAAGACTACAATTTTAAAAAAGTAAAATTACAGAAATTGAATGCAAAATTAGAAACTCAAAGAATAATTTAAGTAAAAATGAGTTGAGTTGTATTTTGCATATACAATGTTTATATTTGATACTGACATTGATGATTTTAGGATAAAGAGAGGATAAAATGAGATCGAAATTAACAAGATATTTTTTAAAAAAAGGAAAAAAAACTGAAGCAGCAAATGGAATGGGATAATAAATGTTGGAGAAATGGGAAATTCAGAAAAGGTGAAACTGTATCCACAGCTGGCAGAAAATGATATCAGAAACATTACAAAAACGCGTACTTTGTTTGCATCTATCCCAATGCCAACTTCTCTCCCTGCTCCAACATATAGAGCACCTTTGCTAATGTGGGCGTGGACCACGCATATTAAATCAAATTTTGAAAATAAAAATAATTTTTTTAAGTGATTGAAATATTATTTTTATTTTAGATTCAATATTTATTAAAATAAAAAATTATTATTATTATTATTATTATTATTATTATTATATAAAAGTAAAATAAATATCAAGATAGATCATCCAATTTTAATTTAAACGATCCAAATAATGAAGAAAAGTAACTTGCTAAGCAGTGAAGTTGGGTTTCAAAGAGTATATGTATATAAATAAATAAATAGTGTTAAAAATATGAGTAAGACTAAGTGAGCCAACCTAAATTAAGATCCAACTTGTTTAAAGAAAGCTCATTTAGCCCACCTCGCTTAACCAAAAACTTGTGATGAATTAACTTGCCAACTCGCAAGTTAGCTTGCCTTTTAAAAAATATTTTTTAAAAAAATATTTTGTTTTAAAATTAATTTTAATAAAAAATTATTAGTTTATATTTATTTTAAGCATAACCTTATTTGTTTTCATGTTAAGGCTTAGGAATGTAGTTTGAGGTTTGTTTTCTAATTATTTTTATATCAATAAAATAAATATATATAATAAATTACTTGCCTATATTTGCAAGTTTCTGAAGTTCATTTAACCATATAATTTTTTTAAAATATAAAAAAATTTGACTTAATTTATAAAAATTCAAAAACAACTTTAAAAATGTAGAAAAGGAGGGTGACGGGTTGAGCTGGCACTTTTTTAACTTGCTAAAAGGTAGACCAATTCCAACTCATCCACCAGGGCGATAACCCAGAACTCTCGGATAGGTCCTATTATCACATCTCCATATAAAAAATGTATTAATACTCACACCACATGGGGCACAAGGCCATTATTTATTGTATTTGTTTGCTCTCACTTTCTTTCCTGAATTTAAAGGTATTTTATTATTTACCTTCTTGTGGTATTTAAGATTTTATATAAAGTAAATCTTAAATTTAAACGGAATATTTAATATTTGAATTTAAAATAATATTATGAACCTGTGTTTTTTGTATAGATTATAAGTTTGAAGTGACCTGTAAATCATAAAATTATGATCTTTTATAAATTTATGTTATATATTAAAAAGTCTTATAACGGTATTAATATTATGAAAAATTTATATATATATATATATATATAGAGAGAGAGAGAGAGAGAGCTTATATATATGTCTGAAAAGTTAGATGAAAATTGTTACTTAATTTTTAAAAAATATAACTTTTTGTCCTTGAATTGTACTTTATTTATTGATTCTATCTTTAAATTTTGATTTGAAATAATTCAATTCTTATATTTTATTGATTCAAAAAAAATTTTGGGCAATATAATTTAGAACAATTTAATCCTTACAATTTATTAGTTCAATAAAATTCTAAGATTGTGTTGTAATGAGTTAAATTCATAGTAAATTGATAAACATAAAAATTCAAGAACTAAAAATTATATTTTTCTTTTTATAATTTGATACTAATTTTATATTAGAGAAATTTAGATAAATAAGTTCGTAACTTTACATGGTTAATATATGTTCTTTCTAATTAAATTATAGGAAGTGATCTTATGATTAAATAATAAATTACAACAATCAAAATAAATGTGCCAAAATTTACATGTAAAAAATTATAATATGCATAGAGAAATTCATATGTAAAAAATATTTAAAATTACTAAACCAAATTTTCAATTACACAACATATTTTATTTTATTATGAGTAAAAATTTTGTATTTACTTAAAAAAATATTTTTAGTATATGAAAATATTTTAATTATAACATAGATAATATAAAATGACAACGTACAAATATTTTTTTTGAATAATATATATTGATTTATGAACTTATATTTGCTAATGTATATATATGTTGATAAATATTATTAACATATTTAAGTAATAATATATAAAATATATTAATTTAAATATATGAAAATATAATAATATTAAATAATATATATTACTTCCTCTAGGCTATAATATAAGGTATTTTATAAAAATCTTGCTTGGTCTAAAATATAGGACATTAGATAACTTTTTATTTATTTTTTCAATTATACCCGTACTTCATTTATTACTCTTTTTTAAAAAATCAGGCATTAAAATTTTAATTACTATTATCAAAGGCTCTCATGTAGGGTATTTAATAAGGGTATAAATGAAAATATATTGACATTTTTAGGAATTCAACGTTTCAAACTAATATTGTTCATAAACTGTGAATTAGTTAATTATGACTTATACTGTGATCTAAATGGAGTAAATTGATACATATTAAGATTGAAATGTCATTATAGTTTAAATGACAAAAGGTATGTAAGGGAGAGGTCCAAGTGATGGTGTGCAAGTTGCTAAAACATGGTAGTAACATGATATGGTTGTCCAAGCGATGATGATCAGGGACATATGTATTAATGATGTGGCGAGTGGTGAGTGATGTGTATTTGAAGGGTAACAAGGTAGTTGCAGGATCTACAAAATAACTTTCAATTATAAAATAAATTAACGACATAAGTTCAATAATTAATTATGGATACTTTTTACTAAATTAGTAATGTATTATTTCTAATGAAAATTAGTGAAGAACAATTCATCACTAAATCTAAAATTAGTTATAAATTTTATTGATCAGTAACTTACATTTATTCGTCATTGATTATATTTCAATTTTTCTAGTATAGAGTTTTACAAAACCATATTACAATTGGTTTGCTTGAAATTCATATAAGAGAATATATAGCATATAATTAGCAAGAGATAAGAAACTCTTTAAGCAAAATATATTTAGAAGATTAATTATCCAAGATGATTTTCCTACGAACCAAATGAGAGGTTATGCAAGATTTGGCTCAAGAGTGATGTTTACTCTAAGGTAGACAAATAAGTTTAAGATAACATTATAGCACCTAGTTCTCTCAAAGAAATAGGTTTGGAATAATCAACAAGTGCCCGATTTAAGTGGCAAGGAAATTGTATCAATTTAATTAGAAACCTCAAGTTCAATTCTTGTAAATGCAATAGTGTTTGTGAAATA